AATAGCTTTCCTGACAAAATTATTGCGGGCAAAATTTGCCGCAACATTGAACGGGAAAAAACAATTTCTCTAAATTTAGTGGGAAATCGCACGAATGCACGAATGTCGCCCGTCACTGTGGGGCAGAACGTGCATCGGTTGCAACGACTCGGCGATCGCCGGAGTTCATTTGCAAGGCACAGCAAGGAACCGGCATTTTTTTAATATATTTTTTATTATAATGATTATAACTTTTTGAACAAAAGCGAAAATAAAGAAAGAAAGAGAGAGAGAAAAAGAGAGAGGACGGTGTCTTCTGGGCGAGATCGAAGTAGGAGTACGTTATAAGTTGTTCCAGCAAATTGACTATGAGTGGCATCAGTACCGCCATCTGTCGCCTGCTCTATCAGTTCAGCGACAGCCACCTTGTCCTTCCTGAGTCGCGTTGGCAGAGCGAGGACGTTTTGTTTTTTTTCCCACAAGCCCCTACAGTCCCACGACCCACGAAACTCATCTCCGGGACCGTGCAAAAGAAGCAAAAATACAACGACGAGGAAACGAGTGAAGCAAACGATCGGCCAAAAGCGAGCAGCTTTCACCTTCCTTCGGTACCTGGAAGACGCAAAAGTTGGGCCTCATGAATTTCGAGCGTGTCGTGGTTCCCCCCACATGTTTGTTTTAGCAGGACGCAGCCTTAGGAAGCCGGGGACCCTCCCGCCTAAACTCCTTTTCACTGCACGACGAACCGCAGCGGACGCTACTAGTCGTCGTTAGCCAATCCAATGCGGCGTGAGAGTCACGTGCCCTTCGAGACGGGGATGCAGCGATGCGATGCGCGTGTTCACGTGACGCGTGGACGGCGTTGGATTGGCTGGAACGGCTCGTAACGTCCGCTGCGGTCCATCGTAAGGTGAAACTGAGTGCATAGTCGGCGGTGGCCGCCGAGCCCCTCTCCCTGCATGCAAGCAAGACGCATGGAAATCGCTCGTCTGAGTGAAGCTCCATTAATCTTGGAGCCCGCGGACAAAGATAGCAGTTATCGGGCACGGATCCATTTCGATGACGAATGGTTTCTGGCTGCGGGATGCATTTTTGAGACACACGGACGGACCCCTCGGCAGCAGCTGCCGCTGAAGCGAACCAAGTGGCCGTCCGTGACTGAACCCCCCATCCCCTGAGTAAGGCGAGAGGGTGTCTGCTCGTCCTGTGGGTCGACTCGTCAGCAAAGTAGCGACTCGGAAAAAAAGGAAAACGCCCCAACAATCAGCGAAAATACTCGGGTTGGGCTGGGCGAAATGTTTTGGAAACGTTGCCCACGCGTTGTGTGGGTGGCGAAGTTTAACGTTGTGTTGTTTCCAGTTAAACGTCGCAATGGCGGGACAAACGTTTCGAAAATTTGTTCCGAAAGGCTCCCTGGAAAGTAAGCGGGGAGTCGACCACACGCTGGTACACACACTCTCAACCAACTCCACTTTCTGACGTAACGTCACTGCGGTGGTGCTGCTGTCGCCACTGCGCATGCGCAGAAGCTTCACTCCTCCCGAATTCGGTTTCTGCGCAGAATTCGGTTTCTGCCCACTGCCTACACCTGATGCGAGCAAAGCGGGCACGTGAGGCGCGTGGTGGCAGAATACAAAATTTTGTTTCAAAATGCAGTATCCGCGCAGGAATCCACAGTACTATATGGTGATGGATCGAGAATATATGGTGATATAAATTGAATTTTCTCTCTTTATTTTTTTTATGGGGTAAGAGAAACAAATCAGATTCATTTGTCTCTTAAACAGGAAGAAAGTTATTTAACAGGAATGTAAAAATAAACTGGACCCAGTACGAGTCCGTTCTGGTTATAACTGGTTTTCTATAGCTGATTCCAGGTTCAAGGCGTACCGGTATGATGTTATGTCCCATCCATTATTTCCAATGAGTGGCAATTTTCGCGAATTACGCTACATTCAGTTTGTCTGAATATGATAAGCACGATTCCCGAGTCGTTCACTGAACTGCGAGTCATACCCGGCTTCTACGCGCAGCTTGTTTACATAGCCTTACGTGACTAAACCCATGCACTCCGACGTGACACACAGCGAGGCCTGTTGCGTGAGTTCGCAGGATCGCTCGTAACGTCCTACCGAAACCTGGTTAGCTCGTGCGTTGTTATCTCGCGAAAAAGTCGTTAGCATACGTTCAAGGGACTCTACACGCACTCATGAAGCGATGTTTTAAACATGCCAGTCGAGATGTTCACTTGGGGGCAGTCAGGCGCAAGAATGATGCATATATGCGTGGCGTGTATACAGTCGAGCCACGCGTGGTCCAGCAGCTACAGGGCGTCCGTCCGGTGGCTCTGCTCCGAAATTCCGGTTATTTGCAATGGTAATAAGCAAGGAGGGACCAGCTAACTCCCCCCCCCCCCCCCTCCCCCTGATTCGCCTGTCTCGTGCTTGTATCTATGATGACTTCCTTCACTTTCGTTCGAGAGTATGCTAGTGTTGCTGCTGTTGACCGTAAATTACCGGGTGCAATGCAAATATTTGTCTCAGAGACTTAGTGTGTGTATCAGTGAGTGAGATAGAAGCTCTTTCGTCAGAAATTGTCACGTGTGTACCTTTTGAGAATAATGAACACGCTAAGGATGTGTTCAATAGGAGCATGCCAGCTTCTCAGCCATGGGTCATCGAAGTCTCCTTAATCAACACAACGAATGAACAAGGGCTCGATGTCTACTTTCAGAAGATCCAAATAAGATTATGTTTGGTTGAAGGTTGTATAAATGCCGGCCAAACAAAGCGAGGTACTTTCGTTTCGCCGAGTCTAAACAATGATTGGTTACCATTTTGAGGCTCGGAATGTAGTTACTATGGTGATTGAACTCAGGTACTCACAGGAGTGCTCTTGGTGTTAATTTTAGTCTTGCTTAAGTATATTTGATTTTTTACAAAAGGTTTAAAAGAAAACAATACAAGATTTATATATTCGTCTAGGTATAGCAAGTGGAAGAAACCTGTCTGCATTCAATAACTGGGACCGAATTCAATCGCTCTTAAAGTTATGTCTCTGGATGACTCTATACACATGTAGAATGATTTTCCTATTGCGAACAAAACAACAATTAGTTCAAGTTACATATTGTCGTGATCATCACGTGTTGCTAATCCGATTTATGAGCCTACAGGCACTTCTACCCAGGGTCAACTCGAATTTATCAACCCATGAACCCACGAAAGCTTAATTTATGTTGCACGTGATGTAATTTTTTTTAAATAATTTTTAGTAACGGTTTATATAACTGACTAAACAACTGAAAGTAATGTCCAATTTAAGTTTGTTTTCTTTCAATTAGCACCTCTCTGATAGTAGTAAAAAATTATGACACGCCGCTCAGGTAATTAAAAATGTATTTACTTATAGTTCTGGGTCCTTTTGGGAACAATACCACCCTTCTTTCTTTACAACATTTCGAGACAATGAAAAGAAGACGAACTCGAGATTATTTTTCCATGCTGGAATAGAAGAAACGATTGGGATTGCCGAGTCACGCGCTGCCTTTATGCTATTCCTGCCATGCCGAATCGCACGAGGAAAGCTTTTTTGCTTTTTCACGAAGAGGCGCTTCATATGATGCCGCGACGAAGGCACGCAACAAAAATGAACGCAGCCACGATTCCTTTTTTAAACGCAGCTTGCTTTCATAAAGCGAGTCGTTTATGTGCATCATTAGACGAAGGCAGCTTTTAACCGCCTCGTTTGTTCATTTGTTCGTTTAATTCTTAAAAGTCGCCGTCACGAACCCTCGAATTCGTGAACTGAATTGACTGTTCCGAACTCGGAGGGGGTCTTCTCCGATGGCACGTAAACACGCAACCGAGACATACAGATCGCGTGATTCTTCTTTGTCCGAACTCCCGGCCGTGCACGCTTGTTCCACTAAGACGATTTCCATAATCTCGGCGAATTTAAGATGGTCATCGGTTGATAAGCTCGAAGGCGATGTCGCGCGTATAAATGCTGTGCCGGTCATTTTTTGGGTACGGCCCCTGAGATTACCGGCGCGCTAATCTCAGAGGCCATGGTCTGCCATGGGGTCTACAAAGAGTGGGCATAGTGAGTGTCTAGGAAGGATAGAGCGCAGAAAGAATATCGCAAAGAAAGCAGGCGGCGGGGAGTGTGCTGGACGACGCCCGGCGTTGCGGCGATTCCCGGTAAAAGGCGATAAGGCCGCCCCGCGAATGGCTCGTTCGTGTACACGGCTCTATGCAAAGCGGGACTATTTTTCACCGGACGACGGCGATTACTGTCTTCGCTCGGCGTCGCGACGGAAACATCGCGTGCCAAGCGTAAATGCGAGTGGACAGAGGCACTCTTGTTGCAACCGGTCGGAGGCAGGCCCGACGGCTGGCAACTCATTTGCATGTTTGCTGAGGTTTTCGTGTACGCTTGTTTGCGAATTGTATTGCGTGTTGTAGCGTCCGCGTAACTCACTATGGTGATGGGGCGTTTTCATTTTTGTTTTAATCGCTAATGACACACTCACGCAAACACACACATAAGAAATGGCGCCGAAGACCCAAGTTTTTATGGATGACGACCGAGTGTCAACTTATAGGTCCCTGACAACTTGAGAAACGCAGAGCCAGGGTGTCGAACCGAAATGTTTTTCGTTCCGGTTTTCGTTCCGGTTCAGAGAAAACGGTTCAGCTCCGGTTCAACTCCGGAGTGAAAAAATAAAGGTCCAAACCGGTTCGAACCGGTTCGTACTCATATGCAACAAAAACAATTGACGATTGCAAAAGATAAACTATACATATTTTATAAAAGTGGTACATATAAAAAGCAAAGTCTCGCATTACTATGTGGAACGAACGAGCTAGTGTTGGGGCACCTCGGGACGCGGGTTAAAGGCCATTTTAATGCCAGGCAGCTGACCGAAGAAGCAGGACGTCGTCAAGCATACCCGGGGAAAGACGGCACCTATGAGACGATAAAATGAACTTCAGTGGAGAAAAGGCTCGCTCCACGCTCACCTGGGTCGCAGGCACTCCCAGGGCTACTTGCGCCAATGCGCAGAGTTCTGGATGGCGCTCCCGTCTCTTCCCAAAACTGCAATACGTTAGCGTCCCTTGAAAACCGCGACTCCTTGTCTAGCATTTCCAGGAGGCGTGCTATATAAAGGGGGTTACTTTTACCTCGAACGTGCACTCCAGCCTCAACCTCTTTCTCCTTGAGGAGCGCTTCCAGGGCTTCTCCGGGATCTTCTGGAGCCGCCGCAGTTTCAGAAGAAAGGGTAGGATCTGCTCGCATTGCAGAGCTGCGATCCGCCTTCAAGTCTTTGTCGAGTAAAACGTGGCCCGGTACTTTTGCTCAGGGGTGAAAAGATGGTGGTAGCGGGGATCCATGTACACTGCTGCACAGAAGACGTCCATGTCAAGAAGTTGTCGCTCCCTCTTTTTCATTGTCTGGACAAAGGCCTTTGCTAACGGCGACGATATCTTGGAAGTGTCCATGAAATATCTTAGCCATGCGCCGTAAAAATCTCCTACAGTGAGCTGTTCGTTCTGCAATGTCTTAGTCACCACTTCTGCCGGGCGAAGCAATACTGCGAGCATTTCGACTTCCGCCCATACGTCTTATGCCGACCTGGAGCTTTCTTCTTTTGAGAGCAACTTTCCAGTGAAGCCTCTCAGTTCAAGTAGCCTGGTGAGCATATGCAGCGTGGACATCCACCGCCTTGGACAATCAACCATTGGTTTCTTCAATCCTAGCTTCCTAATAAGGCACACACACACACACACACACACACACATATATATATATATATATATATATATATATATATATATATATATTTACATTTTTGGTTTCTTTTTTTAGGTTACATGTGTTTTCTGCCACGCACTTTTGACGCGACCTGACTTCGGCTATGAACCGAAAACCGCATAGAAAACATATCGGTTCCGCTCCGGAGCGAAAAAAATTATTTCGTTCCGGTTCAACTCCGGTTCGAGAGAAAATAAAGGTTTTTTCCGGTTTTCGGTTCACGGTTCGGGTTCGGTTCAATACCCTGCGCAGAGCACTGCGAACTCCGAGCATCTCATTATTGATCCCGCGCCAATGGCATCGCGGCATTAACCGATAAAAAATGGCGAACAACCAATCACGAAGGAAGAAGCGTGCACATAATTATTCGTACCCTTCACTTGCCATTGACTATAGCAGTAGTGAGCCTCTATGGATAAATACCCTCTTTCACTTCTTTCGTAGGTCGCTGGCCAGTGGCAAATCAATACGATAAGAATATTCCATCGAACATCACTCTATGTAGTGATTGCGCTTTCCATCTATTCATTTATTTATTTACCCTAAAGGCCCTGACGGACATTACATCTGCAGTGTCTTTCGTGGATCGCTCCGGTGGCGGTGATTCGACGGCACTGGGACTTGGAGCTGAAGATTGTTTTCTTCAAGAGCACGCTCCATTGCATCGTTGATTTAGATAATTATTTGCTATTAGTCACTGAGAGGTTATGAATCTCCTTTATGGTCGTAGTGGCTTTTTACGGCGCACACTTCACGCGCGAAATAAGATGTAACAAAATAAAACAACATTTTTAATAATATGCTTACGGCATTATAGGGATAGCAGTTAAAAAAAATGGGAATGGTCTTTTGGATTGTTTTTTTTTCTTCTTTCCTTTTGCCTATTAAGATTGTATTTTATCGTCTGAAGACGGTTAACGCTGAAAAGTATGGAAGTAACTTAAGCCTCCAGAACAACAAAACATGTTTAATTTGACGGTGACAGCGCAGGGAAAACCAATCTCACACCAGACACTCGGGAAGACAAGCACACGCGCTGAACTTACAACTATTGTGTGCTCGGCTAGTTCATTTTTCTCTTCAACGTCTGGGTTGACGTTGAAGAGAAAAATGAAGTAGTCGAATACACAAGAGTTGTAAGTTCAGCGCGTGTGCTTGTCTTCCCGAGTGTCTGGTGTGAAATTGGTTTTACCTGCGCTCTCACCGTCAAGTATGGTTCACCAACTCGCCCAAGCGTCCATCCTATCAATGTTTAATTTATTATGTGATACTTGTTTTCTCTAATGCGACTAATTTTGTTACCTTCATTTTATCTGGAAGTGATTGGCTGGAACAATTAGCACGATGTAGCAGATTGCTAGAGAAGCCACATCCATATCACCGAGCATATGCATTTCATAAGAGATTGAATCTCCACCTTTCTGTCCTGGCATTAGCAGCAAAAAAGGCACGACTGAGAGGCTCACACGTGCAGTAAATGACCTAAAAAAAAAACACAGAAAAAAACTATACAGTTTAGTTTTGCGAAAAGACAAACAAACAAAACACTTTAGCTATTTTTTAAACTTATTTGACATACCTCTACGCGCTCTCTTAGAAAATTGTGTAAAGCCTGATTCACGCGGTAAATTTTACTTGAGATTTCCCAGTTCCGACGCCGCTCGTGCATCAGAAAAAAAAAAAAAAAAAAAAAGAGGGGTGGAAGCTGCAATGCTCAATGTCGCAGCTAAGAAATCGCAAGCAAAAACGCACCATGTGAATTAGGTTTAAGGGGGGACAGAAATGCTAACTTCAACGAAAATATATCGAACAATACAAAAATTCAAACACCTTCTGTACAATGCAAAATAAAAGAGTACCTACGATGGGAGACGACACTCACACAGAAATCTACAAGTCGCCAAATTATCGCAAAGTAACGTCTCTGTTAAACTGGTTCTAATAATTTAATTTGTGGAGTGCGCGTGTAAGAACCTCGGAATAGCACCTTTAGGAGGATACGAATAAATAAATAAATGACAACCGTCAAGCTCAAACTATTTGCTAGCTTTAAACGAATCTTCGAACGCGGCTGGGTGGCTGTACTTTGCCAACACGTAATGAATAATGAAGTATAACTTTCAAATTATTCCCTAACGCGTTCGCGGTCTGCTGTCCAGATTAATTACGCCTCTTCGGGGTCGGCTAACGGCTTGTCCGGTGAGCGAAGAGAAACGCTCGACCGCGCATCAAATTGAATTAGGTCGATTTGTTTTGCTCTCGAGGCTATTGCGTAGGGGAAGAATGCAATAAACAAAAACATCGAGCTAAACAAAAATAAATTGGCATTTCCCCCTCGAGACGCGAGTTGCGAGCCTTCGTTGCGCATCGCAGCCGCCTTCCAACTCATTAGCATTCTGCGACGTTGCCCTAACTCAGGCCGGACACGAGCACTTGTCAGACCGAGCGTCCAGGAACAATTCCTTCTCGAGGCCTGAGTCCGTGAGCGAGCATCTTTACAAATAAAAGTACGCAAGTTAAGCGGGCGCTGACCCAAAACCGGAATCGCCTCGATCGACTTGCACGCTCTTGAAACAGGCAACGAAGATTCACGGTTGGGAAGACGCTCACTTCGCTTGTTGCTTTTTCGTTTGTTTGTTTCTGTTTTGCTCCAGAATATATCTGATCAATTAAAAAATTCGACACGTCAAGCCTCACCTTGCGCCGCGTCTTTGTGGTAACCAACGTTACTAGAACAACTCAGTCGGGAAACTGCCAGAGCCTACTTGGAAAAAGTGGCTCCGATTCGTACTCGAGAACCGAACCAAAGGCGATCGCAATGCCGCCATTTCTCCCGCAGCGGCCATTCAGGGAACTGCACGGCTGCACGTATAGGTTCGGGTCGAGTCGCGCAAGGGCCGGTGGCGCCATCTCGCAGTTGCGTTACGCAGTCGCTATTTGAATCGACTTTCATGTTTTGACTCGTCGCTAAAGGAGGGCGCTGTTATCGTATTTAGTTCGGTCTCGGTGGACGCGAGCGGTCCGGGTTTCAAGGGTGAGTTTCCCAATTGAGTGTCTTAGTAACGCTGATGGTAGCACATAATTATCACTCTGAATTCGCAGCGTCGGGGTTGCGCCAGGCAGAAAACTACATGATGTCATCAAATCACGTGACAACCTTTCACCAGAAGATTGCGGGCAGGACAGCGCGCCCGGCTTAGGGGACGCATCGCGTCTCTAACTTCATTCTTTGCATACGTTCAGTTAGAGCGACACCTGCACTGTGAAACCCTCCAAGGGTGTCGTTTTCACCGCCATGTACATCTCGCCTGGAACATCTATCTCTGGCGTCAAGAATTTTACCGTGGAACTAGGTTTACCTGCACATTCCGATGCAAAGGAACCCACTAATCCTAACGGTAACTGTCTCAATTTAGTCTTAGGCAGGAGGGACTCGAGTGTGCTGTGAGTTTTCTTTCCTACATACTTCAGTGACCGCAAGGCTGTGTTCTGTGAGATTGGAAAACTAAAAAATGAGCATGCATAAAAGTGTGCTACCCCGCGCGATAACAGCTATCGCTGTCACTTCGCAAACTGCGGGAAGAAAAGCTTCTATTTCCGAAATCATTACTTCCGGTGCTTCCTTTCTACTTCATAAAGAAAAAAAGGGGGTTGTCTTTGGTGTTAATTGGGTCCCTAATCTCTACCGTACGCGGCTTTTTTTTTTTTTTCTTTTTTTTTCAGGAGTGAAAAGACGTTATTTAGCCGCTTCCGGCCGTTTCAAAACAATGTATCCGACTCGTCAGCTGTTTGCAGGAACAACTGCAAATTTCCCAGAAATATTGGACTCACAAAAAAAGGCGATTTAATCCGGAAGATTGCCTTCCGGCAAAGACGTCCGTGCACACGGCAGGAGCCGGATTCGTACACGCTTGCATGTGGGGCCATCCCTTTATTCAATATTCTTCCTGCAGATAAAACAACCAACTGTGCGGCAGGCACTGTCACGATCGCGGTTGCGACGCCATCCTGTGCCTGACGCCGGAAATAATGAGGGTAATTTTTTTATTCATCCACCATCCTCCACGTAGTGTAGTTCTCACAGCTGCATCACGTCGCCGTTAGGAGCGCTTTCGGCTCAATTTGGCGGCGACCATTAATATGTCGGCACAGGTTTGTTTGCTATGCATCCGCGATGACAAATTGGCCAGGCTCTGTTGTTGTTTTCACTTTTACATTGTTTGTCTTATAATTATGGCTGTACCATCACGCTTTTCTTTTTTTTCTTAATTGCTTGTAACCTCCGCTATGGCCGGCCCCTCGAGGAAAAAGAGCGAGAAGGGGCGACTGCGTTGCGAATGTACGAAGTAAGTTTTTCCGCTAACTAGAGACGTGCACTCCCTGATCTGAAATGTTATATAAAGCGATGGCACTTTAAGGATTTGACGCGGAGTCTTTGATGGTGTTTTGTCGGCTTTGCACTCATGTGCATTGGTGAGCGTTACATTATTTTGTTACCATTAGCATCTACGCAAAAGTCGACAGTCGGCCGACTTGCGATATGTTCAGAGCGTATTAGGAAAAAATAAACAAATATTTAATGCGACA